CATATACAATATACAAATTATATAAATTTAACTGTCATCTACTTATAATCTATATGAATATAGACTAGTTATACATATATCTATTCGACCATCCTCAACATGTTTGCCACATTGCTATTATGAAGAAACTTTCTCAATTGACATGTCACATAATTGTAATACCCTCTCTGCAAGGGTATAAAAAAGCTTAAGGACGAGGCGGCAGCTTCAGCCAAGTGCCAAGTTAAGTTGACATACAAATTAACGGTTCAATAGAGAGCTATACACACACACATATACACACACTCTCACCCACACACATACGCGCCGTGCTGCCGCACTCAAATGTATCTCAAACGGGGTCTCTCTGGCACTTGGCTTCGGCTTCTGGCTTAAGCTCTGGGCCAAAAATGATGTCGTGCGTGCCCAAACTATGCGCTGTCATTAAATCTAACGAGCTTCTAGAGAGTGGGCGTGGCATAGGGCTTGAACGAGCAACTGTGCTCGGGCACATGCAAAACGTCGGCGTTCTAGCAAACGCTCAACTGAAAATTGAGAATTGAAAAAAGCCAAAATGTTGGCCTGCCAACGTGGCTTTCACTTAAGCTCTGGCATTAGCCTGGTCTTAATTACATACATATATCTGTATGTTGGCTGCTTAGTCTTCTTCAACTATGTCGAAGGAAGCCATTATTTATGCCATAATAATAGGCAGGCCAAATTACAGACACAGATTTATGGGCCAATCGAAAAGGACAAACATTTAAATTGATTTAAGTTTGGCCATAAAACGATGCGATTCGGCATAAATGAATGGCTCAAATGGCTGTAGATTTGAAGGAAACTTGTTCGAAGATAAGGAAAATAAAAGTTCTTACTTCAACATTCGCTACTTTAAATGACTTGACATGCATATGTAGAGGACCTATACAAAGTCAAGTATAATAAAGTTAAATTTATATAGCTTGCCCCATGACACAGTTTGTTGCAAAGCTGTAATGCCTTGAGTGTAAGTGTATAGCTGCCTCTGCACTCTGTCAATCCATTCTTTCCTCCTTCTGAAAGTGCTCTAGCGCACTCTGTCAGCCACTCGCTCTTGCTTCATTTTCAATAGTGCTCAAAAGCTTAAGAGCCAATCAGTTCCCAGCGACGCGCGCTGCATTTCTCACTTTCGCTTCACTCTCCAGGGACAACTTGAAGGGAGTAGAGTAAGCTCTATTATACTGTCGCATAACACACAGTTTATTATAAGAATATGCACAGCTTTGGCTAGACATATTTCAACTTTAATAATTATTTTACTTTAAGAACAATTTCCTTCTCCGTTTATCAAATACCTCTTGCCTTTTAGAGCATTAGCCGCATTACCTGCATACATTAGCGTACACGTTTTCAGAGTGATGCCAAATCGAAGTCAGGCCAAAACAGATGGCTGGAATCAATTAAAGCTGCGCATTACATGCAAAACAACTTAGAGCAAACCGGTAAGCTCTACATGGCCCGCCCACCTACAAAGCGAGACAGAAACAAATTGGACGAACCAGAAAAAATAAACCTCCATGTGGAGATTAATTTGATTAGCAGGCGGAAATCAACAGACGCAATACAAAGACCAAAAGCTGGCCAAGAGCAAACGCAGGGCCCACACGTAGTGCTTAGTCGAGCACTTACAGACAGAGCAATGATTGGCCGACTGACTGCCTACCGACTGACTGATTGATTGATTGATGAAGTGAGCCCTAATTGAAGTTTACGCAAGTGCGCAGTCAAAGTCAATTCCTGTGCTACTCATCGAATTTTCGACGACGATTGCCTGGTATTAAAGAAAAGATTGTCTTTCAGTCAAGTGGACGATAAGCGGACGACCGATAATACACAGGTGTTACACTGAAAGCAAAAGTTGTCAACCCCAAGCAAAGTTAAGCAACAATTTCAATTGGCTAAATACACTTATACAAATAATAATACAATCTAAGGTAAAGTGACTCATATTAGGCAATCATGACAAAACATTCTACAGTATGCCAACCTTTTCTCTGAGTGTAACACTCATCGACCTCTGCGAGCCCATAAAATGTGAAAATAATGCCCGCTCAACAGATATTTGTCTTTGATTTGAAAATAGCCTCTCATAAAGCTGCTATCCAAACAAATGGGGCTCAGCAGAACTGGGCTGCTGGTGAATTGCAAATATTTGTGCGCTGATAGCACCTTTCGCACTTTCGGAATTGAAGCACACATTCAATAAATAATTCTGCAAATTGCGTGCGAGCATTATGAATTCTTGTTTATGGCAGTTGTAAGTGCTTCGGCCAACAAAGGCGATAAGATACTCACGTCTAACAAGTATATATAAATACTTTTATATGTATAAAGTAACGGAAAGAGAGAGAGAGAGAGAAGAGCGGCGCCCAAGGCGGAAGTATTTAATTCAGATCCATCATGAGTCCATTGTGAAATGTTGAAACACACGCGACTCCAATTATATTTGATGTGTTTTTAAGCTCGTTTAAGAAACGAAAAACATAAATTAGTTGTTGGTGTTTAGAATGCTTATAGCGTAGATGCTTCTTTTAGTTATAACCGAAGTTCGCAAAATTTTCGCCCTTTTGCCCCCTAATTAAATTTATCCACCTCGCATATTTCTTAATTGTCGCTAGACATCATAATTTCACATACTTTCTAAACTAAATATTAGTTTATTAGTTTGGGTTTATTAGTCTTGAAGCAGGCTCTGCGACAGGCTTTTTGCCTCACTTTATCTGCAGTTATGATGTCAAGCATCAAGAATCTTATCTGATTCATAAATCGACTTATCTTTTTGGGCTTATAAATGTCTCGGACAAATTCCAAGGCATTGATTCACATGTGTTAACAGACTATCGACCTTCCTAAGTCGCAAAACTGTTGGCAGCTAAATGAGGCTACAATTCGACAACTTGGCCAATCTCACGTTCGCTCAACAGCTATTCTTTCGCCATGTCATGACTTGGGCCACACTCACGACACTCACGCTTCTCATATGTACGGCTGGACACCCACATGCCGTTATGCAAAACTAGCGTTTCGCTCTCAGCTCAGCTCTGCAATGCACTTGACACAGACACCCAAAAAAGAAAAACGAAACCCCCGCACGCCCCTCTCTCAAAAACAAACAAATGCAACGCCCGCTTCAAATTGTCTCTGTCAAAAGCTGTCGTTGTCGTTCTTGTTGCGCTTGTCGCTGTTTTATTGAGTGAACCCGGTCCATGCAATTAGCTGGAGGTCGTTTGTTCAGCCAACATGTTGGCTCAATGTGTTAGCCGTTGTTGACGTTGATGTTGAATTGGGTGCGGAGCGATCCCAGCCGACAGACAGGCGGCGGGTCGACAGTGTTTTGGCCACAATTTGTTAAACAAATTGTTATTAAACTATTCAAAGTTCGCCAATTGATTGGCCATTGTGTCAAGTTAATTGCAAATCACTAACAAAAAAGCTCCACAAAAATATATATTTATATAGCAACTGCRRCAGGCTTGTTCCTGGACCCTTTTCCAAACTGGTTTCAATTTGACTGACTAGATTTTCTTTTTTCTTTTTTCGATGTTGCTTTTGCTTTTGTTTTTGCTTTGGGACAGACTGTCATTCAATTGTCAATATCTGCGCGGCTCGATCGCTGATCGTCACGACTTGCTGCCTTTTGGCTGTCTCGCGCGCACTCGGAAATTGGTTTTGCATTGAACTTCAATTGAAATTTGCGCCAGCCTGGGCCTCGGCCATGGCCATGGGCGTGGCAACTGGCAGCTGGCAACTGGCGCACGTGGCAGCTGAGCTGAGCTGAGCTTCATAATTCAGAAGAAAGTTGAACTATATATAAAGTGAGCTCAAATTAATTGAGTGGAAAATGCATTTGCCATAGACTTGCAAAAGGAGTGTGGATCGGGTGATAGTTTGATTTGATTCTAATGTATATAAATAGCAGGCATCTACATAATATTTACGAATCATATATCGAAGCAATCAGAGATTTTGTGCCACTAAATAATTAACAAAATGCTGAACAAATTTTTGTGCTGCATTAACCTGCGCACCGGCTGCATCATAATAGCCGTGACCATGATAGTAATGTACGGCTCCACTCTGATAGTCACGACGCTCTTTTTGAACAACAAGGTGTCAGGTAAGCGTTCGTCATGTGCTTTAAACATAGACGTCTACAGGACTTTTAACTGCCCTCTTTTTAACTCATAGAGGCGTTAGTCAATCCATATCTGGACCGCGAAGTACAGTTACGTGTGCTCGTAACATCTTCGATTTTAGCAACGAGCGCTATCCTCTTTCTCGTTGGCGTGTTAATTGTAAGGAATATAATCCGTATTGTACTTTCATTCCTGCTTTAATCTGTTGGTATTTGTTATTGGTATCTGCTGCTGATTGTACGTCAATATCTCTGTAAATATTTACAAGTACCTTGTAATTAAAGCTTCTGTGAATGCAGCTGTGTATCAGTATCTATGTTATTTATATAGCCGTTGCTATACATAAATATTTATATTGGTTATGTATATTTATAACTGTCCATATCAATAATTACTATTGCTAACTGTCTGCCATTGTCATTATATTATTATATTCGATATGAGTGCAACTCAATATTTCTGACTTTTCATCTGCAGAAAAATATGTTTTTCATCATTCCCTGGCTGTTTGTCGCTTGTATCCACATCGTTGCTATGTTTGTCACATTCGTTTTGTTTATTAGCTTCATGGGACCTCTCCTTCTAATACTTTTGTTGGCATTGTCACTGGGTGAGTAAACGTACTAGATGTCTAATTAAACATAATTTGATCAAATTATTCCTTTCCGTGACAGTTATTTACACATATTTATGGGTTGTTGTTCTATCATATTTTTTTGTACTGATTTACCATTGATGTTTCCAATATTAGTCCGTTATCATATTTTACTCAGCTTTGCTCAGCATTCAGAGTCAGAAAACTTTAGGCAAGTTCAAAATCAGAAGTCTTAAAATTTTCCTATGTTCATCCAAATTGGAAAATGACCACTAAGACCTGTTGCTTCTGCGTGCCCTTGCCCACTTGTAGCTTGGGCATCGGAATATTCTTCATCTGTTTTTTCTTCTGCGAAATGGCTTTCCTCGGCCAAAGAGGCATTTTTATCTGTAAGTGTATCTGATCTTCCCAATACGTATAGCATGTTGATTTCCACACTGTACTTTATAGACTCGAAAGCCGATATTTGGGATTATGTGCAGTCGGCCATTTTAACGGTCGGCATTATCAGCTGCATTATTTTGATCTGTGGGGTTTACAAGGTAAGGCGTGTCTTTTATACCTATAATAGTCGTAAGATATGCGTTACAATAACCGACTAATGTCAGCATAAGCGATGCGCCTTTCTTTTCTGGGTAATCATTTTTGCGATCATTTTCATATTATACATGGCAATGTTCATTATCGATTTGGTCGTTTATAAATATATATTGACGGGCATACTATTGCAACTGGCTATAATAAGTAAGTCGTTGTATTATCTTATTAAACTAATATGTTTACCCCTTTATCAGTAATTTTAGCTATTTCTATTATGGTTGTGTACACCAACTACACTCACCTGAAAAACGAAGATCTATAAATTTGTCAGTGATATTTTTCCAAAAATTTTCTACATTTTTATTGAAAATTGTTAATGACATAAAACGCGTATGAAAGACATTTGTTACTCTAATGTATACAGTTGGCTGTTTACATTTTGTAGTAGTACTCAGAGCATGAGCATTTTCATTTGAGAAAAGAAACACAGGCGTTAACTGTGTGTATTTACTAAAAGATAATACTTGGATTTTCATCCAAATATTCCAAGTTTATTTCAAAATTAAGCGTCGACCGAGAAAGCCCGAAACGAGATAATACACTAATTAGTTCGCAATTCAATTGAATTCACGATGGCTTGTCGCTGCAAGTACTTTATCAAAATACTGAACAAATGCTGCTTCTGCTTCTCGCTGCGCACAGGCACGCTGCTATTGGGCTGCATATTCCTGACCTGGTTCGTCTACCTGTGCCTGGGCAGTGCCTTCATGATGGAGTGCATCTTCCCCAACGAATACCAGCGGGAGACAGTAGGTCCCCCGGCAGCGCCAAAGACTACCATGGTCTTTTCGTTCTTCGGTATCATTGCATCCGCAATGGTCTGCATGGGTGTGCACAATGTAAGTATACGATAAGAAAGAGACTAGCTATATAACAGACTAGCTATATAATGCTATTATTGAAATTTGACTTTCACAGAATAATGAGCTGCTATTCGTACCGTTTTTGGTGCTAACTCCGATCTATATTTTTGTCCACGTACTGGCCATGATCATCTACAACTTTGTCTGGGTCATTATTGCCCTCTTTATTATCACAATATGTAAGTGCACGATTCAAAGTCATTCCAAATCATTTAGTACTGATCCCCATTTACTTTACCCAGTTGTATTAATCTACGCATGGATTATAATCTATTCGTACTTCTCGGAACTGCGCTATGCCTACGATGATGAGCTACCCCATACGTATATCTGAAAATTCAATAACTAAATTCTTCCGTCGGTGCGGCTTTCCTTTCTGGTATGGTTTTGATGTAATACAAATTAAGCGTGTGAACCTACAGACAGTTAACTATCAGAAGTAAAACAGATAGATAATTGAGTCTAAAACAAATCTATTACAATACATAGACTTCTTTGGGGATGTGGATTGACTGACTGACTTACTGATGATATGCTTACATCATACACTGTTACGCTCGGGAATCAATATATTATGAGTACAGCAAGGCTACTGGATGATTCTACTGGCAAATGTACAGAATACTTATTAGGGAAACGCTCGGACTGGGTTTTTAGGGGGTTTTCTTTTACAACTTTCTATTTACACGACTCTCTGGCTGTCATGCTTGATGCGTCGCATGCGGGTTGATCTGGTTGTCTATATACTATGAGGGGAACTGAAGCTGAAGTTCGAACTCACCTTCGGTAAAGAGGCCAACACCTGCTGCTTGACATCCCAGACGAGTCGCTCCGATGGGAACTGCAGACACTTGTAGACATTCAGCTCCGGCACATGGATGCGCACCAGTAGCCAGCCATCCCGTGGCTCCGGCGGCGGCTCATCGTCAAACGCACCCGGCCCGGACGTGCTGTCCATGTTGGCCGGGTTCTGTTTGACTTTGGGCGTGGGTGGGTGATACGTCGTAATTTTGACGGCTTTTCGCGCACAGCGTCACAGTGAAAGAAAAAAAAGTTACCTGTGGCTCCAGGCAAGTTTTTTTTGTTTTTCGTTTTCTAGTCTTGTCAGATTAATTCTATTTGCAGTTCGTTTTTTTCGTTGATATCTCGAAAATGTTATCGATTGAACATTTATTTGATTGAGCTGCCCGTGGCTATTAGCTGAAAATCGTTTCGCGTGGACATTTCCTTATGGCTCTTCCATTCACTTGACAGCTTAACAATTGGAATGTACATCATGCTGAAGAGAGAAGAGAGAGAAGGGAAACTATATAGATAAGAGCATTGTAAATTCATAAAGAAACGTGCCTAATAAAAAACTAGATAAAGTTCAAGACTGAATTACTTATTGCTGAATGATATATTAGTAATTTACAATCACAGATCGAGGAATGAAATATAATTTTTATACATTAATTATACGTTAATTTGTACTCTTTTTCTCCAAGTGTAGCCAGTCTTGGAGCTCAGTCCGTATCAGCTGTGAGTGCTTAAGCAACCACACAAGACGTCAAATGCGTTGTCACACAGCATTCGTTTGACGCAAAAAAACTTAATTTGTAAATTGGTTTACTTTTCTCAGCGCTCTCGCTCTCGGCGTCGCTCCCCCGCTCTGGGCCAGTCAGGCAGTCTGTCAATCGGTCGCTGTCATTGTGTCAGTCGCACAAACACTTCCCCAAAAGCCCCATAAATTGCCAAGGCGGGCAAAAAGCAGGCACATTCAACATTCAACGCTCAGCATTCGCAGTTGTTGTTGCTGCGGCTGATTACTCTCTGATATTGACATTTTATGGCTGCAACAGTTGAAGTTGCTGCAATTATGCACAAATTAAATTCACACGCTAACCTCAAAAGCAAGAAAAACTGGAAGGCTATTTATTTTTTTAATGACGTGAAAATGTGTGTCAATGCACTCACAGTGTATTAGTAATTGGCCGATACTTTATTAGAAAAGTTGCGGGTGATAAAAGAGTGGCTCAACCGCCATCTTTAACTGGAACGAAAGTCTGCAATCTCTATGAAATGGTCTAATTGGTCATTTTGGATAATTAATAAAAACAAACAACCATTAGTAACGTAAAGCATATATATATGCTAAGCAAACAGTGCATACGAAGTACATTAAAATAAAAGGTAACTGAAATTTATCTTCTTTACAAATCACTGCAGCTAAATTATTAGTTCTCGGAACTCTTCAAAATAGAACATTTAATTATCTGCCTCGTAAATCGCTAAATTGCGCCCAAACGCTTCAGATAGTTTCAGTCGACCTATTTCTAGACTAGAAATAAGTCATGTTCAAGAACCTTCAAGTAGAAAGCAAATTTGAAAGTGAGCCGAGCTATTTTTTAAGTAGTAGGAAACAGAAACAAGCACACACACACACATACAAGCATTTACCTAGTTCAGTCACCCAAAGAAAAAAAAAAAAACAACAGCACGACAGTTGGAAAGATGTCACGGTCAAGAAACTGTGTTTACTTTGCCGAAATACATAAATTAAATATATTTAAACAAGTGGGCTGAAAACAAAAGCCACTCACCTTGGCCACCCACCTGTCAATCAAAATAGCAACACAAAAACCCAAGTGAAAATTATCAATAGCCCAACAATTTGAAAATTTCAGACGCAGCTATCAAACATGGCCAAGGCAACGCCAGAGGCAGAGGCAAAGCCTACGGCGAGGGCAATTGATATGCCTAATGAGCTGGCATTAAGGGGCCGTCACGATCCTCTATCCCTCTCTCGCCCTGATAAACTGATAAGAGTTTCGGGGCGACAAAGTAAACACAACTTTTAATTAGCAGCACTTGTCACATCACGCATTACGCATACGCCACGTGGACTCAAAAGTCGTTCAACTTAATTAAAAAATCAGCCTGCCCAGCGCGACGATATCTATGCAATAATCTTTTTCTGTGGCACAAGCTTATCAGCTGCAGCATTAGATGTAGAGGAAGTTGAAATTCGATTGTGACTCTGGGAGGAGCTATTACTATTATGGTATTTAATATGCAGAATAAATAAATTTGTATTTAGTGTTAGCCTGTCTTTGAATTCGTAATTAAACTTCTTATTCATATATTTATATAATTTCTACAAGTCATAAATTGATTTCCAGTTTCTAAAACATTCCAGCTTAAAAGAAAACTCCAAGCCAGATCTAATTCTAGCTAAAATCGGATTATCACTTATATTCATTTTAGATTTGGAAATAAAATTGCTCCCATTCTAAGGCTAATAAGCACATGAATATATTGCCCAGCAGCTATGGTTGCAGCAGCATTTAAAGTTTGGCAAAGAAATCCCCTCTCTATCTCTCTCTCGCTATCTCTATCTATTTTCGTTTTGTTTCTCTGTCACTCGAAATTGAATTGAATTTCAGAAAAATCTCAGAGCTTAGCGCAAAGTTTAGCGCTGACATTTGCTGCACTTTTTATGGCCAGTCGCTCGCTTTTAATTGGAAAAGTTGCTAACCCCACGTTTGCTTTTCCCATCCACGCCCACCTACCAACGTCCACGCCAGGCCCGTCTCCCAACTGTCCAACTTGGCCAATACATTTTTTTAATCACAATTTAAAGTGCGCCGTGCTGATTTATTAATAGCGCAGAGCAGCAACAACTCAATTATCGCAATTATGGTGCGAACTGAAACACCAACAAAACGACCAAGGCAACAACCAACAACAAACAGCAACAATTGCACATTATGGCAATTTCCACAACAACTAAGTGCGGTGATTTTTCACTTAAAGCGCATAATTTTGCACAAATCCATTTCGGTTCGGATCCCCTTTGCCATGTTGACTTTGATTGAAAAATTATGTTTGACCTTTGCGCTTTGACATGCGCGCAAATCAAAATTTATGTTTGCTCTGTTTCGCCCATCCGCCGCCCCCATTATTCTCACACTCGCCCACTGGTCACTTCGTCCCAATTGCTTTGCTTGTACCTGACAGCTGTCAGTTAGTTATATTTGTTTCGACCGCCAGGTGGCGCGCAACAGCCAATTCTAGCCCTCATCCCCCCAGCTAAACTGACAGTTATTTGCTCTTCACGCCTGACAAGTCGCTTTCGTGTCGCCTGAGAGGGATTTCCAATTCATGATTTTGTGAAAATGTAAACCCTAAACAAGAAACCAACAAAGTTTTGGAAAAGTGAAGGCTGTCCGACTAAGAAATACCGTGCCCAACATTTACTATGAACCTTTTTGAGAGAGACAGTATATCTGAAACTTCTCTCAGAGTCATATCAGTTTCCAGCAAATTTGTAAATACATTTCCTACTACTTTTACAACTCTTTTTAACCATCTTCAATAGTTACAGCGTATAAAGTTGAGTCTTGTTGTATCAACCAACTTTGTGCATGCAAGTCGTACATATCTAAGCCATACTTATGGCCAAGTTGTAAAAGTTACGGCCAGGTTGTAAAACACGCTAAGCTCTTAAATTTGAGACAACCTCAACGCCCACTTGAGCAGCATCTGAGCTGTGAATGCACTAAAGTGCGCCCGCTTGTCGCACAGTTCAGCTTAAGTATTTGTGACACTTTCTGACAGCCAACGAAATTTGCCAAAAAGTCTGCAGAACAAAGTCTGAAGAGTGCCTTGCCCTGGCCTAATGCCCCCACCCCTCCCCCACACACACACAATATGCAGCTGCGGCTGTTCAGGGCACTCTCGAAAGACACTCGACTAAAATTATGCCACATCGAATGGATTTTTGTGGAAATTAGTTCCCTGACTGGCTAACTGACTAACTGACTGCCTGATAGACTGCTAGACTGATGGAATGACTGATGGCAGCCCAAGGGGCTCAGCCTGATTTCTGGGTCACTGTGCAACACTAAATGTCACGAGAGTGTGTGCCACAGTCAGCAGTCAGCAGTGAGCAGTGAGCAGCGCATGCATATTTTAAATTGCGTACAGCTTTAAAGCAAATTACTTTTGTCATTTTAATGACGATGCTTTAAATGAGGCTGCTGCTGCTGTTGTTGTTGCTGCTGCTGCTGCTGCTGCTGCAGGGGTTGGCCACCAATCTTCTCGGATGTTGCGCATTGTTTGCCTTGGCAACGCGGCACCAAATTGCCAACAAATAACTGCAACAAGGCAGCCACGCCCATCCACCCACGACTTAATAAATGCACAGTCGTTTTTGTCGAGGAGCTGCATAGTGGAACAGGCATTGAAAAAATACGCCTTTAATTGAGCTCGGTTTTTGTATTCAATGAAATCTCATAGTATTCAAAGTTTAGTTTAGTCTCCTTTGGAGCTTCGAATGGTAAATTCGTATGCTAAAGCTAAATTAGTAGGTTACCTTCATCTCAATCGCTAAAGAGATCAGCCACCTCTTGTCTTTAATTCAGAACTTGAAACTAGAAAGACCTAAAGTTAAAAGACCATAAGACCATTCATGCTCCAAGCCGAAGGTCCAGATTGCCACTGCTTAACTCTTCTTAAGTTAGTTTTAATTTGAGATTAATTATAATTTAAATTGAATAAGTCAATTATATTTACTCTATTATATACACAGATATTCCAATATGCTCCACTAAACAGAATACTTTAAACGCCACTAGTTTAATATATCACCTGCAGGTTTAGTCATATTGCCCCACTGTGCCGTATGCTGCTTTACAAATCGAATCGCCATTTTGTTTATGCGAGCATTCTGTGGTGCACTGGTGTGTGCACCGGAAACGGAAATGCGCACATAATTCTGTTAGAAAACGTGGCGCTGGCTACTAAGGAGCCGAACGCTATGCTCGCTTCTCATCTGGAATTCGAGCGATGCGCACACTTTAATTAAATAATATTAAATGCAATTTCGTTGTGAGCCTTTCATCCGAACAGCAACTGGAAACTGGGATTGGATTTTGTGTTGTAAACACAGCAAAACATGTCGCTCAACTTTATGGCAATGTCAAAGTTTCTTGGCTAATTTATTTTACTATTTTTTGTATTTTCATTCAAGGCAGCTGCCAAGGAGAAGAGGAAACAACAACAACAGTAACAACAACAGCAGCAGCAGCAGCGCGCAGCAAAGCAAATCTAAAGAAATACAAAAAAAGAACCCAAAACTTGTTTTCCAGTCACGTTCATTTTCAATCAAGTGGCATCATTATATGCCGAACAAACTGCAGAGAGAGAGAGAGAGAGAGGGAGAGAGGGCGACAGCGGTATCGTTTTAGAAAGAGAGAGAGCAACACTAATACAATAAGAAAATTAACTCTGACCCAT